CTTTCTAGCTAAGTGTGACATACTCACTTTTACTATTTAAAAACTCTCTGTGTTGCATTCTCGGTCAGTTGCAGAGGTTTTATTGTGCTGGCTGGAAGACCTGCTTATGGACAGTAATAAAATAAACACAATAAGTGTCTTGTAGGGAGCATTTAAATAATCAGAATAAATGTATACTAGCTCAGCTCCTCCTTTTTTCAAAAGAATATATATATATATATATATATATATATATATATATATATATATATATATATATATATATATAATGTGCAATAATTTAAGAAGATTATACACCCGAGCTCTTCCTCCTTCTCTCTCCTCAATCATCCTTTAACAACTATTATGAATGCTGGATGAATTCTGTCTTTCGTGATTTCTCACACGTGATTTTTGTCTCCTTTTTAAGATCTTCAATAAATCCCTTTGAATTTATTTGAAGCTTGAGACATTCCATTGTAAAATAATCTGATTTTATACTGTATTTCAATTTTCAGAACGCTGCACACTGAGGACATCTTCTGGTTTAAGCCATGTACTGTAAGAGGAAAAAAAATCTGAGTATTATTTATCAATATTCTTAATGGATATAGTAAATATAAATATAATAATAAGAAGAATATTTTCAATATGTGTCATGTAATTATTATTATTATTCATTCATTTTCTTTTCGGCTCAGTCCTTTCATTAATCAGGGGTCACCACAGTGGAATGAGCTTATCCAGCATGTGTGTTACGCAGCGGATGCCCATCCAGCCGCAACCCAACAGTGGGAAATTTTTATTTTTATTATAGAACAAATTATGCGTAACACATATTACATTGGGAAATTATATCATTCATTCATTTTATTTTCGGTTTAGTTCCTTTAATAATCTTGGGTCGTCACAGTGGAATGAACCACCAACTTATCCAGAATATGTTTTACGCGGCGGATGCCCTTCCAGCTGCAACCTATCACTGGGAAACACCCATACACACTCATTCACACCCATACTGTACACTACAGCCAATTTAGCTCACCCAATTCACCTATAGTGCATGTCTTTAGACTTGTGGGGGTAACCATAGCACCCGGAGGAAACCCACGCGAACACGGGGAGAACATGCAAACTCCACACAGAAATGCCTACTGACCCAGCCGAGGCTCGAACCAGTGACCTTCTTGGCTGTGAGGCGATCGAGCTACACACTGCACCACAGTGAGGCCTAAAACAGAATGTATTTACAACAATTTATTAGCTGTCCAATAGGTGTCTCTGTAAGACTGTTGGAAATCACACCAGAATCCTCTCCTTATAGTGATATTAGACATACAGAGTCATACATTCACCTTTTAGGTATTGTCAACCCCTAAAATATAACTCTATTATCATTTAGTCACCCTTGATATAATCCAAACTGGTTTAATTTATTATTATTTTTTTTGTTCTGTTGATTACAAAGGAAGATATTTGAAGAATGTTGGAAACCGGTAACCATTGATATTCACAGTAAGAAAAAACAAAACTGGAAGAAGGGATACTTCAAAATATCTTCTTTTGTGTCCAACTGAACATATTTTTTAATGTGTAGAACAAGTCAAGGGTATGGAAGCCCGTTCCTGCCACTGAATAATACAGTTGAAGTCAGAATTATTAGCCCCCCTGTTTATTTTTTTCCCAAATTTCTGTTTAATGAAGAGCAGATTTTTTTTAAAAACATTTCTAAACATAATAGTTTTAATAACTCATTTCTAATAACGGATTTAACTTATCCATGATGACAGTAAATGTTTTTTTTTCTAGATATTTGTCAAGATAGCTTAAAGTGACATTTTAAGGCTTATTTAGGTTAATGTTAACTAAGCAGATCAGGGTAATTAGTCAAGTTATTGTATAATGATGGTTTGTTCTGTAGACTATGGGAAAAAATATAGCTTAAAAAGGCTAATAATTTTGACCTTAAAATGGTTCATAAAAAAATAATAACTGCTTTTATTCTAGCCGAAATAAAACAAATAAAACTTTCTCCAGAAGAAAAAAATATTATCAAACATACTGTGAAAATGTCCTTGCTCTGTTAAACATCATTTGGGAAATATAAAAAAAAAGAAAAAAAATTCAAAGGGGGGCTACTAATTCTGACTTCAACTGTATATATATATATATATATATATATATATATATATATATATATATATATATATATATATATATATATATATATATATATATATATATATATATATATATATATATAAGAATTGCGAGACACTAAGTTAGAATTTTCAGTTACAAAGTCACAATTGTGAGTTATAAAGTCAGAATTGCGAGTTAATAAGTCTGAATTCTGAGTTACAAAGTCAGAGTTCCAAGACATTGACAATTCTGAGTTATAAAGCCAGATTTCTGAGTTATAAAGTCACAATTCTGACTTATAAAGTCATGAGTAATAAAGTCAGAATTGAGTTATAAAGTCAGAATTGCAAGTTATTAAGTCAGAATTCTGAGTTATAAAGTCGCAATTCTGAGTTATAAAGTCAGAATTTCGAATTATAAAGTCAGAAATGTGGATTATAAAGTGAGAATTTCGAGTTATAAAGTCAGAATCGGGGATTATAAACTGAGAATTGCGAGTTATAAAGTCAGAATTGCGAGTTATTATGTCACAATTGCGAGTTATTAAGTCAGAATTCTGAGTTATAAAGTCAGAATTGCGAGTTAATAAGTCAGAACTCTGAGTTAAGTCAGAATTGCAAGTTATTAAATCAGAATTCAAAGTTATAAAGTCAGAATTTTGAATTATAAAGTCAGAATTGCGAGTTATAACGTCACAATTGTGAGTTATTAAGTCAGAATTCTGAGTTATAAAGTCAGAATTGCGAGTTAATAAGTCAGAACTCTGAGTTAAGTCAGAATTGCAAGTTATTAAATCAGAATTCAGAGTTATAAAGTCAGAATTTTGAATTATAAAGTCACAATTCTGACTTATAAAATCACGAGTTATAAAGTCAAAATTGAGTTATAAAGTCAGAATTGCAAGTTATTAAATCAGAATTCAGAGTTATAAAGTCAGAATTTTGAATTATAAAGTCAGAATTGCGAGTTATTACGTCACAATTGCGAGTTATTAAGTCAGAATTCTGAGTTATAAAGTCAGAATTGCGAGTTAATAAGTCAGAACTGAGTTAAGTCACAATTCCGAGTTATAGTCAGAATTCTGAGTTCTAAAGTCACAATTCTGACTTATAAAAACACGAGTTATAAAGTCAAAATTGAGTTATAAAGTCAGAATTGCAAGTTATTAAATCAGAATTCAGAGTTATAAAGTCAGAATTTTAAATTATAAAGTAAGAATTCTGAATTTATAATTATATAACTTTAGAATTTATTTTTGGATTAATTATCTTTTATATAGGCCTAAATCTAAACTATAGAAATGCATAATATATAGTTAGGATATAATATAATCATATCATAATATTAATATTATTACTTTTAAAGTCATGTGCACAGTCATTCCGGCAATGTGTGTGTTTCCTGCACTGGCCTGTAGTCTGGGCTATAATGGCCGTGCCGTTGACAGCTTCTCTCTTTCAGACTGCTGCTTTAGTTGTTAGAAGCAGTCAGACATCCATCAGCACATCAGCAGCCGCACCACTACAAAGAGCTTGTAACTTATCATAATAGTAACCGAGTTGCAATCATAACATTTACCCAGCAAAGTGAAACACCAACATATTGTGTCGGCAGGTTGGGGCAAAGCTCTGGCACTCAGAATGAAGCATGTTTGTGGTTCTGCTTCATACCGCACTGGCAGAGATACTGTAGACAACTGAGGAAGGATAGGGCCGTTTGGAGGTGAACGAGATGTAAGACTTGTGGTTTGAGGATCAGCTTTAACAGTGACCCTTAAATCAGTTTATTTGGTGCTGAAAGATATTCAGTTGGAGGGCTCATTTTATTTTTGTGCCAAGAGAGACTGCCAGACTGCTTCTGGTGTGAAAGAACGGACTTATTTAAGTGCATTCTTCTGAATAGTAATCATTTTAAAAGGAACCCTGGATAATAAGACTTCAATTGCTTAATATAATGTTAATAATGTTTATTAGTGTATTATTCCATGCTCTGTTGAAATTCTTGATTCTGCTTGAAGGTGCGAAATAAATTTGTTTAATGCACAGGTAGTTGTAGTTAGTTTTTTAAATGAGCTGTCATCAAACATAATGTAATAATGTAATAAGCAATAAACATAGTTACTCAATGAGAGTTGCAAAAGCCTTCATTCATCTAATGGAGATCGAAATCAACCAATATGCCAAACTAGTTGATCATTTGGAAAAGTGGCAGAAGATGAACTTCATCCCAATCATTACAAATACTGCAGAAGACCTATTGGAACCTGCATGCACTCAAGATTATCACAGAAATAAGTCAAGTTTGGTGAAGGAAAAATCATGGTTTGGGGTTACATTCAATATGGGGGCATGCGGCGGATCTGCAGAGCAGAATGGCAACATCAACAGTCTGAGGTATCAAGTTATTTGTGCTGCCCATTACATTACAAACCACAGGAGAGGGCAAATACTTCAGCAGGATAGTACTTCTTCTCATACTTTAGCCTCCACATCAAAGTTCCTGAAAGCAAAGACGATCAAGGTGTTCTAGGATTGGCCAGCCCAGTCACCAGGCATGAACATTATCGAGCATGTCTGGGATAAGATGGAGGAGTCATCAAAGATAAATCCAACGAATCTTGATAAACTCTAGGAGTCCTGCAAGAATACTTTCTTTGCCAATTCAGAGACTTTGTTAATAAGTTATTTGAGTCATTTTAGTGATGTATGGATGCAGTCGTCCAAGCTCTTATATTCTCTTATAAGCAAAGTTAGATCTTACTGTCCTATTTAAATATATATACATTTTTAAAATCTAAGTTATGTCACTCGATAGATAGAGGACTATGCAGAAAACATTGGCAAGCAGATCAGGGCAAACATTAGTGTAATTATGTTATATATGTCATGTCTGCTGTAGTGCCATCTTGTGGTTTTCTGGACACTAGTTATGTTTTGGTTTGTTCCTGCTTTGTAGTTCACGTGATCACTAATTGTTTCCAGCTGTCTGTCATTGTCTAATTATTGTTGCCTTTATAAGCCTTGTTATGTTGTGTTTAGTTTGCCTTTGGATTTTTGCTGTTTTGCTCGTGCACCCTGTTCACCCGATTCTGGTTTGTTTTGTCCGGCTCTTATCTGTTCCTAGTCTGCTCACTGACTCATCGTTTTGGTTTGTTTGTTTGTTCACTTTGTTTCATGTTGTGATCATATTTTTGAATTCCTGTTCTAACTTTGTTTGATACACTTTTGTTTATTGTGTTGTACTTTTGTCTCTGTTCGATTTTTGAACCTGGCCTGTCCCCTTATTTATTATTAAAACTTCTATTGCTGCATTTGGATATCTTTTGTATTTTTGTAAGCCCATTCGTGACATAATCCAAAGGCCACACTAATATCCAGCAGCATTTTTCCCCCCTCTTTTTCTAGTGTGTTTTTTGTCAAGAATGAGCATTCGAATTGTTCTTCCAGCGACTGAAAAGGAGCGGTCACTTCGGCTTCAGGCATTAGCAGCTGAACGTCAGCAGGGTTGGGAGGTAGGAGCTTTTGCTCAGTCGTTTTGGACCATGGCTGTGGGATTGGGGTTGTCAGATCATGAACTAATGACCATTTTTAATCAGTGCCTGGATTACCCTCTTTCTGTTGTGGAAGTGGAGGAGCTTGGGATCACTGAATTTTGGGATTTTGCTATTCATCTTAAAATGAATGGGCAAAGTGATGACTTGGTTTCTGGGATTGTTCCTATTTCAGAAGCCCAAATTAAAGACACCATCCTCATAGACTGTGCTCGTTCTATCTCAGAGTATTTTGAGTCCCTTTATGAAATTTTGGCCAGTGTTGAAATAAAGCCCACAATTGATTTTTCTGAGTTCCAGTCAGTGGGAGATTCTGATCCTGAGGTTCCTTTGGAGTTTGTTTTTGTTCCAGGACCTCTTTCTAAGATGGCTGATCATTTGGAAGTTTGGTTAAATGAGGCTGATACTTATGAACATTTTTGCAAAATGGCTGTTAGTTCTGAATTTATCCCTGAGGCTATGATCGTTTTTGAGCCAATGCCTAAGCTGATCGATATTTCTCAGCTTCAGCCCTGTTACACGCCTATCTCCAAACCAGTACCTGAACTGTCTGATTGTGTTTTTGAAACTACATGTTTGGAGGACTCCTTAGAGTTGGGGGAATTTTTATTTTCAATTTTTTCAGATTTGGATTTTGCCATTCTTAAAGAACCAGTTTTTTTTGATATCTTGAAGACGTCATTTTTTAGTTTTTGTGAGTCCTTGTCCCCTAGGATCATTGAGATTTTGCCTTCGCCCCAAAGTGCCAACGAGCCCTCGCCCTCAAGCAGCGCCGGCGAGCCCTCGCCCTCAAGCAGCGCCGGCGAGCCCTCGCCCTCAAGCAGCGCCGGCGAGCCCTCGCCCTCAAGCAGCGCCGGCGAGCCCTCGCCCTCAAGCAGCGCCGGCGAGCCCTCGCCCTCAAGCAGCGCCGGCGAGCCTTCGCCCCAAAGTGCCGGCGAGCCCTCGCCCTCAAGCAGCGCCGGCGAGCCTTCGCCCTCAAGCAGCGCCGGCGAGCCCTCGCCCTCAAGCAGCGCCGGCGAGCCCTCGCCCTCAAGCAGCGCCGGCGAGCCCTCGCCCTCAAGCAGCGCCGGCGAGCCCTCGCCCTCAAGCAGCGCCGGCGAGCCCTCGCCCTCAAGCAGCGCCGGCGAGCCCTCGCCCTCAAGCAGCGCCGGCGAGCCCTCGCCCTCAAGCAGCGCCGGCGAGCCCTCGCCCTCAAGCAGCGCCGGCAAGCCCTCGCCCTCAAGCAGCGCCGGCGAGCCCTCGCCCTCAAGCAGCGCCGGCGAGCCCTCGCCCTCAAGCAGCGCCGGCGAGCCCTCGCCCTCAAGCAGCGCCGGCGAGCCCTCGCCCTCAAGCAGCGCCGGCGAGCCCTCGCCCCAAAGTGCCGGCGAGCCCTCGCCCTCAAGCAGCGCCGGCGAGCCTTCGCCCCAAAGTGCCGGCGAGCCCTCGTTCTCAAGCAGCGCCGGCGAGCCTTCGCCCCAAAGTGCCGGCGAGCCTTCGCCCCAAAGTGCCGGCGAGCCCTCGTCCTCAAGCAGCGCCGGCGAGCCTTCGCCCCAAAGTGCCAGCGAGCCCTCGCCTTCAAGCAGCGCCGGCGAGCCTTCGCCCTCAAGCAGCGCCGGCGAGCCTTCGCCCTCAAGCAGCGCCGGCGAGCCTTCGCCCTCAAGCAGCGCCGGCGAGCCTTCGCCCTCAAGCAGCGCCGGCGAGCCCTCGTTCTCAAGCAGCGCCGGCGAGCCTTCGCCCCAAAGTGCCGGCGAGCCTTCGCCCCAAAGTGCCGGCGAGCCCTCGTCCTCAAGCAGCGCCGGCGAGCCTTCGCCCCAAAGTGCCAGCGAGCCCTCGCCTTCAAGCAGCGCCGGCGAGCCTTCGCCCTCAAGCAGCGCCGGCGAGCCTTCGCCCTCAAGCAGCGCCGGCGAGCCTTCGCCCTCAAGCAGCGCCGGCGAGCCTTCGCCCTCAAGCAGCGCCGGCGAGCCTTCGCCCCAAAGTGCCGGCGAGCCCTCGCCCTCAAGCAGCGCCGGCGAGCCTTCGCCCCAAAGTGCCGGCGAGCCCTCGCCCTCAAGCAGCGCCGGCGAGCCTTCGCCCCAAAGTGCCGGCGAGCCCTTGTCCTCAAGCAGCGCCGGCGAGCCTTCTCACCAAAGTGCCAGCGAGCCCTCGTCCTCAAGCAGCGCCAGCGAGCCTTCGCCCTCTAAGGTTAGTGGGTCCTTGCCTTTCAAACCAGTCAATGCTCCATGGAAGAGGATGAGGATTCCACCTGGACCATCAAGGTGGTCTTATGTTCCACGTGGGGGGCTACTAAACCCACCAGTGGCACCTTGGTGGAACAATGACTGGCTAAAAAGGACCTTTTTCCCTGTGATGCCACCATGGTGGTTTTCTGTTTGGGGATTGATATGTCGGGACTGGTTTAATAATCTGTGTTTTGGACTTTATTCTTGTCCCTTTAGATTAAATTCTGCTCCTTTTGTCATGTAGGGATTTTGTCTTTGCAATATTGGATTGTCCCACCATCCCTCCCCCTGGTCAACCTCCGTTCCGCCTCCCTCCTAGATGGGCGCTTATTTGGGAGTGTCTGGTAGCCACTCCCTTTAAGGGGGGGTAATGTCATGTCTGCTGTAGTGCCATCTTGTGGTTTTCTGGACACTAGTTATGTTTTAGTTTGTTCCTGCTTTGTAGTTCACGTGATCACTAATTGTTTCCAGCTGTCTGTCATTGTCTAATTATTGTTGCCTTTATAAGCCTTGTTATGTTGTGTTTAGTTTGCCTTTGGATTTTTGCTGTTTTGCTCGTGCACCCTGTTCACCCGATTCTGGTTTGTTTTGTCCGGCTCTTATCTGTTCCTAGTCTGCTCACTGACTCATCGTTTTGGTTTGTTTGTTTGTTCACTTTGTTTCATGTTGTGATCATATTTTTGAATTCCTGTTCTAACTTTGTTTGATACACTTTTGTTTATTGTGTTGTACTTTTGTCTCTGTTCGATTTTTGAACCTGGCCTGTCCCCTTATTTATTATTAAAACTTCTATTGCTGCATTTGGATATCTTTTGTATTTTTGTAAGCCCATTCGTGACAATATATGCTGTTTTTACTGCAAGCTCATAATAAAATGTAAGAAATAAACACTTGTTGGAATATATTATCAATTCCATGCATGTTCAAGAAAAAAGGTCAACAGAAGTTTTTCTTCAATGTCAAAAATCTTAACAATTTATTGGATACAAATGAATAATTCGATTCACAGAATTCGGTTATCCTCAATGCAATGCAAAAGTTACATTAAGGAAGTGCGCAAAAACTTTATTTTCCTGACTTGAACTTATATAGGCAGCTGATATTAACAGGTGGAGTTTAGTGGAATTTGTAATTTGTCAATCATTGTTCAGTCCTCCGTTGGCCGCACCCCAGACATGAGTCCTCTTTTTCTACGAATTCTCTGCACAACAATAAAAAGCACAAAACTTTTTGTCCTCTGTGTTCAGTTTTAACACCTTTCTTCAGACAGGAAGTTTCTGCAGAGCTGAATTTGATTTTGGACCAGCATTCATCTACTTCTGCAAAAATGCTAATTAGTATGCACAGCATCTCACACACCACAGTAGAAGTTCAGTTAATATATGACCCTTACATGACCGATACAAGTAATTGCTTGATTCAAAGAAAAAGAGACAAAAATAATAAAAAAAATATTCCTTTTTTCTAACATACTGTATTAATACAAAGCAATGTTTTCAACTTATTTTAAAATATTAAATAAATAAATTAGGAAATTATTAGGCAACAATATTTGCCTTCGGCTCACTAGCCTCAATCAAGTTTGGTTTTTGGCCCTTCATAAGAAAAAGTTTGGGCACCCCTGATCTAGATACACTAGGTACGAGGGTGTGCACAGACCCTTGTATTTTGGACTGAGGATCCATTGATTATGTGGATTGTGGCCTTGTCAGGACGCATTTTGATAAAGCATTTATACTTTTTATATAGTTATAAAATCAACCTTGTCATCAGTCAAATCCATTTGCTCCTGAACAAATAACAGATAGTTAAGACCAAATGTTGCCATTGAATATACCCAAAACTAATTCTATTTCAGATTTAACCACTACAGAGACATGCATCAGATTCCAGAATTAGTGTCCATACGTGCTCACCGAGAAAAATGGTCAAAACAGATTTTCAAAATAGGGGCTATCCTTCTAAATTATACATGTATTTAAAGTCTGACTGACAGCAATCTTGCCTAAAACACTGGTATATAGATAGATATGAGTGTATGTTTTGCTACATTCTTCTGCACCAAAACTGCAAAAATCAGTGCTCAATTTGCTGCATTTACAACAAACACGCAAGATACACCACCAACACCACACACACTCACCTCTTTTTCTGAGCTCTCTGAGTCTGAGGTGTCCAAACTCATGCTATCTAGCCATGCAACCACCTGTCCGCTTGATCCCATTACCTCTCATCTCTTGCAAGCTATCTCTCCTGCAGTCATACCAACACTGACTTACATAATTAACACATCTCTTGACTCTGGTTTATTCCCCACTTCATTAAAGCAGGCTAGGGTAACCCCACTGCTAAAGAAACCCAACCTGAACCAAACGCTACTTGAAAACTACAGACCGGATTCTGGAGAAAGTAGTGTTCAATCAAGTCCTGGACTTTCTTACTCAAAACAACCTCATGGTCAACAAGCAATCCGGCTTTAAGAAAGGCCACTCAACTGAGACTGCCCTGCTCTCAGTCGTGGAGGATCTCAGACTGGCTAAAGCAGATTCTAAATCATCAGTCCTCATCTTGCTGGATTTATCAGCTGCTTTTGACACTGTAAACCACCAGATCCAGCTATCTACGCTTGAGTCACTGGGCGTTGCAGGCACTGTTATTCAATGGTTCAGATCTTAACTCTCTGACAGGTCATTCAGGGTGTCTTTGAGGGGAGAGGTGTCCAACCTACAGCATCTAAACACTGCACCTCAAGGCTCTGTTCTTGGACCACTTCTCTTCTCCATCTACACGACATCTCTAGGACCAGTCATCCAGAAACATGGATTCTCCTACCACTGCTATGCTGATGATACCCAGCTGTACCTCTCTTTTCACCCTGATGATCCCTCGGTTCCAACTCGCATCTCAGTCTGCCTGTCGGACATTTCACACTGGATGAAAGATCATCATCTTCAGCTTAACCTCGCGAAAACGGAAATGCTTTTCTGCCAACCCGACTCTACACCATCATTTTTCAATCCAGATGGATGGGGCAACCATTACTGCATCCAAAATGGTAATAAGCCTTGAAGTAACGATTGATGACCAATTAAACTTCTCTGAACTGCTCTATCGTGCAGATTCGCACTCTATAACATCAGAAAGATCCGACCCTTCTTATCTGAACATGCAGCTCAACTCCTTGTTCAAGCTCTTGTTCTCTCCAGACTGGGTTACTGCAACTCTCTACTAGCGGGTCTTCCAGCTAACTCTATCAAACCTCTTCAGCTGCTCCAGAACGAAGCAGCACGAGTGGTCTTTAATGAACCTTAAAGAGCACATGTCACTCCGCTACTCACCAATTTGCACTGGCTGCCGGTTGCTGCTCGCATCAAATTCAAAGCTCTGATGTTTGCCTACAAAGCGACCTCTGGCTTTGCTCCTTATCTGCTCTCACTTCTGCAGATTTATGTGCCCTCCAGAAACTTGCATTCAGTGAATTAACGTCACCTCGTGGTTCCATCCCAAAGAGGGAAGAAATCACTTTCCTGAACTCCCGCATTCAATCTGACCAGTTGGTGGAATGAACTCCCTAACTGCATCAGAACGGCAGAGTCACTTGCTGTCTTCAAGAAACGACTAAAAACTCAACTATTTAGTCTCCACTTCACTTCCTATTCTGCAATTGCCTCTCTAGCTATACCACTAACTGTACTCAAAAAAAAAAAAAAAAAAAGAATTCTTACATTACTAATGCTTTCCTTCTTAGACTTTACACACCTGAAACTTGTCTACCGCACTTATTGTTGCTCTTATAGTTGTGCAAATTGCTTCCTTGTCCTCATTTGTAAGTCGCTTTGGATAAAGGCGTCTGCTAAATGACTAAATGTAAATGTAATGTAAATGTACTGAATGCAATAGTCTGAGTTCTGTGAATGTAATATACTGAATTTGTGAATGAGTGGGTGCATAGTAGCGGTTTGTCTTTATAGTATGCTTGCTGTTAACTGCATTCCCAGGATCCTCATGTCCATCTTCTTAGGTAGGTCTCTTGATTTGGTTCCATGGTAAAGTTTCAGGTCCATGACTGGTGTTTTTTGAATCACACTGAAATGAAGTATAGAGTTTGATAGCATTCCCATTTCATTCCCTGCATGCTTAAGTGTCTGGACAGTAAATTCATCATTTGTGTTACTTTTTGAAGTCTGGATGGAATAAATTTTGGAAACGCTGTGTTCAGCATAGGTCCAAAGTCAGTGATGAGTGCAGACAGACAAAGAATTTTATGTCTATTTTCCTTCCAGTTGAGTCTCTGAAGTCTGGTAAAGGGAGTCGCACATGAAAAAAATAATGTTAATTTCAAAAACTGACTGGTGCATGAAAACAAGTGCATGACTTCACAGTGATGAAAGAAGAAAATCTCCATGGATCTGATGAAATGGACAATGGAAAAAAGGAGTAACATTTGATCTGTGAATACTCTGATTACATTAACTTTGCATTCTCAGCTGTGGTACAGTATGGGGTTCTACTCAAAGCTAGGCTGTATCACATTAATAGACTGTCACATATGTTTTTCTACAATACGTGTACATGTGAGTGACAAAATGTTCTAGTGCAGCTTAAATTTAAAACACCAGCCTCTACAAACTTGATCGATAAGGTCATCACATGACCTGATATGACTTGAGAACTGTGATTTGGTTGCTAATGTGTTGTAAGGATTCCTTAACACATTGGTGTAAGGTTGCTAGGATTTTATTTTGCTAACACAATTTTTAAAAAATCCCTCCTCAGCCACTTTATTCTGTGTGTTCCCATGCCAACATTACTGGATAAGAATAACCCTAATCCAGATACAAATTTTTCAGACTACCAAATCTAGATTGCGAGTGCTCGAAATGAGACCACACATCACATATGCTGTTATCCATGGTAAGAACAACAGGTTGAAAAATCAGTGTGTTGTCCAAATACCCCCATCCATTTACAGTTTCTGTTGCATGTGGCATTCACCCCAGCCCTTAATTATTCCTTTCAATTGATCTTGTTTGTCTTTTTTTCCTTTTTCAGTTTTCCATTGGTTAATTTGGTGGTGTCAGGCCTTTAAAACGGACTTCTCGTGATCCCTCACTCCTCCACGCCACCACAGTTTTTGACGGCTTTATTGCTGTTTTCTCCTTTATGCTTTCCCTTTGATATCTGTTTGGAGTGGGGAGTTTTAATCTGCTTTAGTTTTGTTTGTTTGGTTGTTATTTATTATGTTGTTGGGCTTCCTATCTCTTGTCCCCATCTCTTGGATAGTTTTGCTGGTTATGTTAATAAATAATTTAGCTGGAGCACTTTGGCTGTTGCTTATTTATGTTACGTTGTCTTTGGTTCATGAGTTGTATTTAAATTAGGGACCGTAACATAATTGGGGGCTCCTCCGGGATTTGAACCCAGGACCTTAATCATACCCCTCATACTTAAACCAACCCAGGCTCATTGGAATTATGTGCCATGGGATACATTTTTGAGAACTGAGAAATATATCAGAAAAGTATTTTTACCGTTTTTATTTTTACAAATCCACTAGAGGCCAGCCTGTAAATTTTTGACAATCTCAAATGCGTTATTGGGGCATGTTTTCTCTTACACGTCATTTCTCATAAACCTGTCATAGGCCTCTGCACAGCAAATTTTAGATAGTAGATTTAACTACCTTGGAGTTAAAATTAACACTCCCTCAGAGTTTATATGGGAACCACTATAAGTGTTAAAAATAACACTTTTGAAAGTGTTAACATTGTCAACACCAAGAGAGTGTTAATTAGCAAACTCTTGTTGTGTAAAATATCTGTTAA